AGCAGGGAGGTGGCAGTTCTGGTCCTTACTGAGGAAGACAGAGGCAAAGAAGTTATTAAATATGTTGGCTTTGTCATCTGGCAAAGGATCCCTCAGATCCTGATGCACACCCTTTATGTACTTATAGGCTGCCACCAGGTACCCCCTGAGCCTGCGGTTCTCCAGGCTGAAGAGTCCCATAGCACATCTAAACATGCACATCTTTGAGCACATTTACACATGCATTAATGCACTTTAGTTAATGCAAATAAAATCTAGTACCTCCATTGTGAGGTACTAGGAAAATGTGTATTAGCCTATCTTAATGCACATTAACTAAAGAGCACATGGCTCCTATACACATGCAGGGAGGCTGCTCTGACATGCTGTAATTGCAGTGCATTGGAGCAGACTCAATTAATCGAGTCTGCTGGAATGTGGTAATTACTGCACTCCAGCAGAATCCAGTGTCCTGTATATCAGCAACCCCACGCTGAAAAATGGCAGTGGGAGCACTTTAACTAAAGGTTGTTAGAAGAGCTTTAGTTAAAGCACCCCGCCAACATTTCTCAGCATGGGGATGCTGATACACGTGAGAGCTCTCGGAGTCACTCTCATTAAAATGCCCTCCCCCCAACTCATGGCACACATGTATAAATGTCCAGTTTTTACGTGATGCTTAATGCGCATTAGGCTATTTTAATGAGCATTAAACAGAAAGCACAGGTGTTTAGTGATGCTTGAATGCACATTAAAATACCCTAATGCATATTAAAATGCACATGTTGAAACACCCTTTGAGTCCACCTGAAGACCCTACGGATTCCAAGGGATCTGTAGGAGGTTAGAGTCATCACTAGGGTTGCCAACTCTGACTGAAGCTATTCCGTTTTTTCTAACATGACGTAATGCCATTAATTCTACTGTTCAACCTTTTCGCGATATCCATCTCTCGGATTACTTTCAATAGTCACTGGGAGATCGATGCTGATTCTGGTAGACTCCTGGCCAATCCAGGAGGGATGGCAACCCTAGTCCCCACCACTCCATGCCTGAACCTCCCGACTTTCTGAAACGCTGGTTGGTTGGCGAATGAAAAGACTGGTTATGTATACTGATTAGGAAATGCCCTGTTATACCCCCACCCCATGACCACTTTTGCACTTATAGCTCACTTTGTTTCCCTGCTCCTAACTCAAACTGGTTTACATATATTGCATAAACTGGTTTGAGCCAAATCAGTTAAGTCTGATACTTGTGGAGGAGGTGTGGGCTGGGAGGGGCGCTGGGCCTGGGCAGGCATCCTGGGAGATGCGGCCTGTGGCAGGTCCTCACCATCGAGCCCCTCAGCCCCCCTGCAGCAGGGTCTGCTAAGGCCCTACTCGCCTCGTGCTGAGCTCGGAGAAGCAGCAGGGCCAAGCTTGCAAAGCCACGAGCCATCCCCTGCCCTCAAGTCCCTTCCCACGCGTTTGGGAACAGCGAGGATAGCTTTCCATGAGCAAAAGGATGGCACCTTTGAGATGAACCAGTTTTACCTCACAGCAGTTTCAGCCCTTTTCACACTGGTTTATGGCACTGATGCCCCACGTTTTAGTCCTTTCAACTGCTGTTGCCTTCTCCCCTTGGGCTACATTCTCCCTGGGCCTCCTACAACTCCCTGGGCCTCTTCTTCCCCTTGCCCAGGGATATTTGCACCTGCCTTTAAACCTGAATCTGAACAGGCCAGACTTAAAGACCCGGAGACCAAAGCTTCACTGGGGAGGAAGATTTTTAAAAATGCCAGTTAGCATCGGCCTCCAGGTCTTCAAGTTTGCCCTGTTCAGATTCAGGTTTAAAGGCAGGCTGTTCTGGCTCGTGAGACACCAGGGTGCCTGCCAGGGCCTTGGCGGCGGCCGGTGTTTCGCCTGGCCAAGGGGCTCCTGCAGTGCCCGGTTCCTGTGGCTCTGGAGAGCCCCCTCGCTCAAACGGGCCCCAGAAACGTCACGTCGGACTGGCGAAGGCGCCATCCTTTTGCTAACCGTGGGAAGGGACTTGAGGGCAGGCGGTGGCTCGTGGCCCGCCGAGCTCAGCACGAGGAGAGCGGGCCTCGGGCAGCCCGACCAGGAGGGCCGGGCGCTGGGTGACGAGGACGTGCCGCAGACTACATCTCCCAGGATGCCTGCCCGGGCCGGGCGCCCCTCCCCGCCCAGCCCAGCCCAGCCCAG